CACTTTTTTTCTGTGACTACATCGTCAGAAATCCAAAAAGCGCGATCGTGTAAGAGAACACCTGATGACATTCTGAGACTCAGTTGCACTGTGTTCACTAGCTTTTCAGTGTACAAGCAAGCCTTAGTGCTACATAGTCACAGAACTGTTGGCTTAAATCGAGCCATTATTAGATTAACGTTGTGTCTTCGTCTTGTCCTGAAAAAAATCAATTGCAACAAAAGCTCAAAAATACATCTTTTAAAAAATGGAATGGAACAAAAAATTTTATGCAGTGGTTTCATCACCGTCGTCTTCAAGATAAAATAATCAGTTTAATATCTTAGAAATTTGACTCTGAATGATATCACAGTCCATTCACTAACATTAACAGGTCACGTTTCCAGGAGTTTGACCATGTTAAAAGTTTGAATTTCTCAATGCGAAGGGTTTTCCTGACCATTACATGTAAATGTGGGATGTTTTTTGATTGGTGGGTGATTTCCGTGTCATTGATAGCAGAAATTGAGCAGGCAGGCTAAGTGGCATGTGTGTTACAATGGTGGTGGTTTACTGGATGTTTCAAAGGCCAGGTTTAAAGCTGCAGTCTGTAACTTTGGAGAAAAGAGTGAGAAAGCGCAATTTGTTCATAAACACCACTGCCCCTCTCCATCTGCTCCATCTTTCTTTCCTGAATTCCCTCTTTTAAAATGTGTTTATGAGTTCACTTCAAAAGCTACATAGCCGACAGAAACAAGAGCTCCAGTATAGGGCTGGGAGATGAATTTATCAATTTTAAATGCAATAAATGTAACTGCTGCCATGGGGCAGACTGACAAGCTTGGTTTTTATTTGGTGACTCATACCTGGTGCGGTGTTGGACAAACTGCAATCAAACATGAGAGGCCATATGAAATGCTTTCGGGAAGAAAATTGTGGGTTTTTTTTTTTTTTTTTGTTTGCTAAGTTTGCTAATTACCTGCGAGGTTAGACAGCTTCCTTCACCTTGGCATGATTAGCCTACCTTAAATCTATTCCTGTATACTTTGCCTAATTAACGGTCAAGTCATTTATTTAGCCAACTGACTTATCAAAACCAAAATGTTAAAAATGATAAAGTGAAAATGAGAAACAGACGGACTTAACCAGACTAACCTGTTAGATTGAAAGAATGCCAATAATCTGAATAATTACTGAAAAAAAATCCTCCGAATTCCACCTCTAATTGTAAATTTTTTACGTATGATTAAAGATACATGAAAAGTAAATTAATTTTAAGATTGTCCTGGTTTTTAAGCATCTAAAAATAAACATAAAGTGGAATACATGTTGTGAGGCATATCAAATTTTCACATTGCACGAGATGGTCAAATGCACCAAAGACCTGGCAGATGTGTACAGGCAAATCTGTGCCACAAATTTGTAGCATTGTAACGATCAAAATGTGACAAACAGCAGTGTTATCCAAAGAAATTAGAATTTATTTGTTGGTTAACTTTAGCTACCTACACAATGCTAGCATTAGTGCTTGAACTGAGAGAAGCGAGGCTGTATATCTGCCGGGCAAGTGAGTGAACTAACATTACCTACGTGATGTCAGCATCAACTACCAAACAGAGAAAAACTGCTATATATCAGCCAAGCAAGTGAACAAACCATGTTGGTATTGGCTACAGAACGGAAAGAAGCAAAGCTGCATATGATCTAAGCAAGTGAGGGAGCTAACTTAACCTACATGATGCTAGCATTCACTACTGACCCAAGAGAAATGAGGTATATCAACCAAGCAAATGAGTGAATGACATGAGTATTGGCTACTGAACCGAGAGAAGCTAAGCTGTATATCAGCCAAGCAAGTGAGCGAACTAACATTGCCTACGTGACGTTGGCATTGGCTACGAAGCCAGGAGAAACAAGACTGTATATCAGCCAAGAAAGTGATTGAATGACATCAGCAGGGCTCAGTCTTGGCACTCGCCCCGAATCCATGACCACTGAAAATCCGTTCGGGCGATCATATAAGCTCAGACTCCTCGCCTGGCTGGCAAGTTCAAATTCTGCATGATCTTACTTGAATATTCGTACAATCCTACTGTATTAAGGATCTTTATACATATTTCAGAAGTTCAAATGAATTCCGCATTGTCTTCATTACTTACGGTTTCCTGCCAAAAACGGATTCAAAATCCACCCAACTGTATTAAAAACACCACCCAAAAAACATTTATTAAAACTTGGGGTTATTTATCAGTTTATTTAAGCACATCATATTAACCTTCAAGATTTAACCATTAGCCAGCTCTCAAGCTCATATCAACAAATGCAAGCAATAATTTCTGGTGTTTCTTCAGGGTAGTAAACAATGTTTCACCTGAGGCCCACAAAATGTATCGCCTCGCTAGCTACACGTTTTCACACAAGCACAAACACATGCAAATTGGGAGACAAAGAAGCACAATCATAACTAATGTTAGGCCTGTCAAGATAACTGCGGGAAGTGGCGGTTCTGGGGTTGCTGCTTCTATGCAGTTAAGAACTTTTGACCTGATTTATAAAACTACTTTGGTGGTTTTTGCATTGTCAGATGGTTTTCAGGGAGATGTCATCAAATCTGAAAGCTGTTTTGGGGAAAGGCTGTGAAGAGGCCCAGTCAGCTTGATATACAGTATGTCTTTTAGGATGCTTTCACACCTGGATCGATCGGAGGCGTTGTTCCGAAAGAAGACTTGGCTCGGTTCGTTTAAACATTTGTGAAAGCAGCAACCGCGCTCCGTATCGGAACAAAACAACCGAGCCGAGATCTCTTGGAGGAGGTGGTCTCAGCCCAGTTGGAATCGCTCCGTGGAGCGGTCCGTTTGCAGTGTGAACACTGAAACGGTATGACAGCGCTGCGCTGTCGCAAACATTACCATAAAGCAGAGCTGCACTGTCGCAACAGTGCCACTGCCAGATGTAAACAGACAGAATAGGCTAGGTGCTATTGCATAAGCGAACGTTATAGTGGAAGCAAGTGGAAATGAGTCGTGGATCTATCTGGACGGAGGAGGAAATACAATGCCTCATTGGCATTTGGGAAGATGATCATGTATCTGAAATGCCAGAAAACACACACAAGAACACCGAAGTGTACAAGCTGTTTAGCGAGCGCATGAAGGAAAGAGGCTTTCATCGTTCTATTGAGCAATGTCGCGTTAAAGCGAAGAAACTTCGACAACAGTATACGAAAATACGAGACTGATGATGCTCCATTTTCAAACAGGTATCCGGCTTCAGAAAACTCGGAGGGATTTCCTGAAATCCAAATTTTCTGCATAATTCTGACCAATCCCAAAATGCACGTAGTGTTGGGGGCGTATCGAGTCTAGACTGTTGTGTGAACACGAATCGAACCAAGGTGAAGTGCAACATTGTAAAATTTTGCAATGTATTACTCCCCGAATCGGAATGAAATGCAGGTATGAAAGCACCCTTAATCTTCTAGGAAAACGTGGGTCATTTTGTTCTTTAGGTTTCATGGTGACAAGGTCTGTACTGTTGTTGTTACTCTGGACAGTTTTAGCCCTTAGAACTGCCTAGCAATGATGACTGTGGAGTTTTTCAATAACCTGGAGTGCTTGGAGTGATTCTGCCACAGTTTACTTGTCTGTCCTTGTGTCTAAATAGCTGCTCCCTGAGGAGGGAGAATTTCTCGCTCCAATCCACATAAAGGATCAGTCCCATGTCCCATGCAGTGGCAGTATGGTAATTTAGGAGGTTCTTTTCAGATTGCTGTTTGCATTTGCTGATATTTGGATTAACAGTTAGGACATTTTCAAATCGTTTGATGCTGGTCAATGTGGGACTGATTTCGATGACTGTAAGAATGTGCAATCCTGTTTCAGCTATGTAAAATTACTCTGCAGCGTTGTTAACAGCGCCACAAGGCAACCGTCCTTAATCTTAAGACTTGGTAATATTGATCAAGATTGAACATTATAAGCTGTGGAGCACAGGTGGGTCTGTGCCCCAAAATTTCAGTGTTTTTCCCCTTGTTTGTCTCTGCAAAAGTTCAAAGCAGAATTCAGCCAAGACTTGATCCATGTCTGGGAATTACTCTGGCATGTTTGAAAATTTACTCGTGAAAATAACGTCGGCCTAAATGGCTCCAAAGAATCATGATCTCTAAAATTTGGCCATGTCCACTCAGACTCTTCACCTTTGGATTGTTCCACTGGCAAACAGCTGTGTTCCTGGAAATGTCATTTTACAGTTTTTTATTTTGTTTGTTTTTCAGCGGGTGAAACAGATGATCCCCCCAGAATCACTCCAAATCCGGTCATCAATGGGAACATGGCCATAAGCGACGGACATAACAACACAGAGGAAGACATGGAGGATGGTGGGCATTTCCTCTATCTCTTACTAAAAAATGTAAAATCATGCCTGTGTTGTAATCTTGAAGAGCTTGGTCCTGCTATGGAGAGGAATGACATCTTGCCATCATTTTGTTTGCTTCACAACACAGGGGTGGGTCATCTAGCTAATTCTTCTCACCACACTGAGTTGACCATAGGTTGAAACCCTAAGCTGAAACTGGGTGCTGCTTTGTCCCCCCTCAGGATGCCCTCATACATTTCAAACTTACTCTAATCATAGTAATTAATTTTATTGGCGAAACTGCGTTTTGTCTATATCATGAAATCGCCATCACTGACGCATCTGCCGCCCATCCTTCAGGTTAACACAATTACTCAAAGACTATTTTATTGATCCTTTTAAAAATTTACATGCCTTTAGATATGATCAAGACTGGATTGATTTTGGGCTATGTATCATTAATAATAATGAATTAACTATTTGATTTCCTAGAACACCGGAATTCCATTATATTGCCTGATATATAAGCAACATCACCTTGAAATGTTGCCAATTGAGTCTTTCAGTCATGATCAATTATTGCTAAATACTACAGCAGAATCAATACATTAAGTACTAAGTTAAAGTCCAGGTAAAGTGAAACCCGAGATTTTGGGAGGCGGTACGTACCGGTGGCGCAGTGGTCAGCACCGCTGCCTCACAGCAAGAAGGTTGCGAGTTTGAAACTGGCCTGGGGCCTTTCTGTGTGGAGTTGACATGTTCTCCCCCTGTTCGCATGGGTTTCCTCCAGGTGTGAAAGTGTGGTTAAACGATAAAGCATCAATAATTTTTCTGGATTTTTTGGGTCGGGCTAAAACCATGGCTTGATGATGCATGAAGCCATCCTTGGCATAATCGTGCCCCAAGCACTATGTAAAACCTGGAGTGTATTGCATCTGTGGTTACCCGCTCAATCATCAATTAAAAACCCACATTTTGTGTTTACGTTTCCAGCGTTCAGTTTTCTAGCTAGATAGTTGGCTATGTGCCTTCAACATCCTGAAAGTGCATCTTCCCTGAACGTGGGAATTAAAGCCTCAGCCACCCTGTTTCAGTTTCCAAAATGAAGACATGAAGAACAGGGAGATTAATTTGTGAACAATCTCGTTAATGGAGAGCTGAGGATCACCACCAATACTCGGCTCCGCAGTGAACAGTTTACACCAGGTACTTTCACAAACTTTCGTCGGAGATGACTGGAATTCAGGGGTCATCTGTTGTTATTGGTGAATGGAGCCGAACTGACTATCTCCCCACCCAGCCTTCATCCTCCTCGCCCGCTGACCTCTGACTATCGTCTTTCAGATGAGACGTTAATCTGAGGTCTTGACTCGCTGTGGTGATTGAAGATCCCACAACACTCTCAGGAAGAGTAGGGGGTTCCCCGGTGTCATGGCTAAATTCCCAACCTGCCACCTAATCATCCCCTGATCTTATAGGCTACGCAATTTGTCCTCTCCCTCCCCACCTCAAGCTGATGTGTGGTTAGTGTTCTGGCACAGAATGGCTGCCGTCTCAGCATCCAGGTGGGCGCTGCTTATTGGTGATGGAGAGATGAGATCACCTCATATGACTGTAAAGCACTTGGAGTTTCTATGAGCAGGCACTTTATAAATGCAGGGTTCATTCATTCATTCATTCATTCATTCATGTGGCACCCTTGTCAGCTGTAACATTAGCTATGTGGCCAGTGAGTTAACTGGTAAGTTGCCTTGTGCCCATATGTTTTTATTACGGTTGCTAGCTCTGTAGGTAGTCCACCATAACTGCACGAAATTGTGCAGGATGAGCTACCTGTTAACATGATTTTAAATTGTGTAGTCCCGTAGATGTAGACGCGTTGACGGCTTCGGCCCTTTGCTCCGAATCTTCAACTTATCTGCCTTAGCTACAGCTAAGCTACAGCTATACTGACGTGAAAAATGCTTGCTAGCCAGTAAACTGGGGTGTACCTTTTTTGAATAAAAAGGCGCTAGAAGGTGTACAGTTCTCAAGCCATTTCAATGAATCTTTTTTTATATAGAACATTAACTGGTGCGTGGTATATGTGGAACAGGAAAAAAAAGGTTTTGCCTCCAGTGAATTGGCTAGAATCTCAATACTGAGGTTACAGTAGCTAGAAAAATAGTGATAAGTTTGAATTTGATCAAGTTAATCAAGTTACTGTTTATTAGAACACAAATGAGAAGAATTAATGTGGCAGCATATTTGTTGTGGAATTGAACTTTGACTTGGTTTGAACTATACATGCCACCACCTTCCAAGCTCGTAAACGCACCCTGCGGGCCCTCGCCTCCTCTGGCTCTGAGCTGGATTCTTGCCTCGGTGGCTCAAACATGTAACGGCTATATTATTCCAATAAATTGTTTGACGGAGCATCCATTTCTCTGGCCGTGGAACATTTGAGACAGAGCTGGGAGGCTGCTCCTTGCGATTGGGCGCGGTTTCAGCGCCTTCAGCCTTTTACAGCTGAGAATAGGGATTGCTTTTTTGCAATTTCGACACGTGATTTTATTTACTTAGCAATATTTTCAATCATTAAAATTTGGCTGGGTGCTTAAAAACACATTTCTTTGTAGTGTGACAAAGTCAGAACACGTACTTTTTTTTTTCCCCCCACTTTACCCAGATTTTAAGAAGTTAAACTGTTCAATATTTCTCAACGAAACGTCGTATATTTATACAGCTTATCATTTAGCTGTGCCTTTTCATACTTCCATCCATCCTCCTGTCGATCAGTCTGTCCTTCCACCGTGCTTTGTTTACCTGGCCAGATAATAGCCTTAATAATAGATCCGTGTATTTCATGGCTGTTATCAAACTTGATACTCCTCCTTCTAAAAAAGTGGATCTCGTACCTGTTGGTGGTTTAAAGATCCTCTTGTCTGTTATTGGTTTTTGTTTTTTGCAATTTTAGACACGAGTTGGAGGTCAGAGGCTACATTCCGCTTCGTGGTGGAGCGCTTCAGCCGGCTGGGTGAGTCGGTGCTGAGTCCGTCTTGCTTCGTGAGGAACCTGCCCTGGAAGATCATGGTGATGCCACGCTTCTACCCTGACCGGCCCCACCAGAAGAGCGTTGGCTTCTTCCTGCAGTGCAACGCCGAGTCCGACTCCACGTAAGCTCTTCCCAAACAAAATCTCCCCTCCACCCCCTGACCAGGGGTTCCTCGCCTCCAGAGAATGATGAGTTGCGGGCGTTACACGAGCCAACTGACTTCTGTGAACAGTGCTGTGTAGACTAATGTGTCCATTGGTGTCTGCAGGTCATGGTCTTGCCACGCTCAGGCAATGTTGAAAATCATCAACTACAAAGATGATGAGAAGTCTTTCAGCCGAAGGATCAGCCACCTTTTCTTCCACAAGGAGAACGACTGGGGCTTCTCCAACTTCATGTCTTGGAGTGTGAGTAGCCTGTTTTGAATGCTGTCGAGAAGAGTTAAAGAAGAGTTTTCACAAAAGTGTAATATTTAAGATGGCTCAGGATTTAAAAACCGAACCCTTTCGGGCAGAAGTTTGTGCATTCAAATTCCCTGGCATTAAACCCTTTGGCAATAAACCTGAGAAGGTTTTTGAGCTGCAGCAATTTGTAAATTGTGTAAAATAACCTTTGAAAATTCAAATTGGTATTGATCTCACGACGGACTGAAATGGTAACTGTTTTGCAGCTCCTTAACAGGGCAGACATCTTGAAATGTCTTTCAGTTGAACAGGTCATAACTAGCTTTGGTAAATCTGTTCCTGGGCCAATTCGAGGTGCCTTCATGGTGCTGGTTCTCTAATGCACTGTACTGTGGCTTTCTTTGGTTCCCACCCACCTCAGGTCTTAAAATTTAGCATTATTACAGTAAATTCTTCAAAGCGAAAGCTATTCAGTGATAAGTTTTGTTGCTTATCTGTAAAAGGTTTGTTCAGCCTTTATAAAGGCTTTACCCTAATCCTGGGTGCTGGTTAGAGTGAGTAGTAAGAGGGCTGATCTTTGGAAAGCATTTGTTTATTATGGATTTGTTTATTTTCACAAGACTTCACCACTGATCACTGATTAAAAAAAAAAAAAAAACGATGGTAGGCTGTTGAATTTCTGATAGTTAATGGCAACTGTCCTTTAAACACCCTTGAACAATGCCAGTGGCTGCTTGAGTGACTTGGCTTTGGACTTTCAGGATGTGACTGATCCAGAAAGGGGATTCATCGAAGACGATAAGGTCTCCTTCGAGGTGTACGTCCAGGCTGACGCCCCACACGGCGTAGCGTAAGTGTCTCCCTGGAGCCGTCATTTTTAAATTTTTTTTATTTTGCCCTGGGACATATGTTCATTGTGGTCATGTGTGGTTTCTCAGAGAAATCTCTAGAAATCACTGACTCAAATTTTTTTCTCTTTTCCTTTCTGGATGGTAGCTGCTCCAAAAAGGCGCGATATCACCGCCTCTTCATCTTGGCAGCCTAATTATATAACTGGTATATTGTTACATGCGTTGGCCTACACCTGCAGCTCTGATGGTCCGCTCACTTGGCTTGATGGCAGGTTGAAGCTGCTACGCAAAAGGCTATATCGGAAATCAGAGATGTTTCTTTGCCGGAGTTGGATGCATGGATTGACATGAACTTAGCATCACCGTGAAGTTTCATGAAGTCGACTTTGAACACTCGTGTTGTTTGTGACGAGTTCATTGACTGCATTTTATATCTTCAATTGAACACGTTTTACGTCGACATGCAGTCTAAGAGAAATGTTTTGTTGTTGAAATTCGACCAGTATTACAGGCTACCTCGAAATCATCACCATTCAGTAACCCTCTGGCTGCACTACCGCAACCATGATGAGGGGACAACCGTGGTAATAAAATGCTGCTTCAATTTTTTCCCTGCTCGGCATTAGCTACTTTAGCACGGCAGGGTACCGCATTTGCTGTGAAAATGGAGACCCTGCCAAAAGTTTGCCGATTTTGGAGAAGCCTCAACGTTACACGCGTTCTTTGAATATATCACCACTTTACTTCTGGATATTTGCCGTTCCAAATTTGCCTCTTTAAGAAGTGCTTCTACTGAAGTATGCCAGCTGTATGTATGCATGTGAATTCTGAAACAAATCACACCAGTATATAGTGACAGGTTTGCTCTAAAACCCAGTGAACAGTTTGTGTTTTTGGAGCTTTGGGTTCCATGGGCAGATGTTCAGTGCCCCCCCACCCCAATTGTCAGATGTTTTCATGTGCAGAAACATACATGTTCGGTTGGTGACGACCCTAATAAGTTTCTCATTTTGCTCCAAGACAAATCACATTTATCAGTCAATGGAACCTGTTGACTGAAGGTTTCACGTTAGCCTACACAAAGTTGTCGTAACTGTAATAATGTTGTGCTTTGGCTGTGACTTAACACTTATACACAGTTGGCATACTTGATAGAAAAGATAGTTCTTCACAACATAATGCACAAATTGTGCTCTGGATATTGGTTGTAACCATGGCATTGAATGTAGAAAGTCATGTTATTGATTTTCACATTTTTGGCATCAGGATAGATTATCTAGGTTGGTGGATACATACTTGACTGTACATTTTGGAAGAACTTCTCTCTTAAATCTGTCTCTGAAATGAGGTTTTGGTTACGCCTCGAGTATTGCTGTGCTGCGTGATGTTTACTATTTGCTGCGTGAAGGATTTCAGTGTGTGTGACCGTTGATTGCAGGTGGGACTCAA